ATTACCTCTGGACATAGTTTAAGGGATTTATCCAGTCTCCAAGGCTCCAGGAATTATGGATTCCATAAGAATTCAAAATTCTGACCCACATTTTCTCCTTCTTGATCAGAATTCCTCTATAGAAGCTGTGATCAACATGTTCAGTAATGGCAGGTGAACACAATCCAGTCTCAGAGCTAAGGAGGTAGGGGTTGAAGGAGGCAATCAGCCAAATATGTTATGTCCCTCCCTTGCTCCTGACTCTCTTTTGCATCTGTTGCTCCAGGTAAACAGAGAAAAGAGTTATGTCTTGGATGGCTGTTTTCAACTTCAAAAGACTCCAAAGATTTGTATTTTTGCCATACTTGCTTATTGAATGCTATGCACACCAAATATCTCTTTGTGGTTTCCCATTAAGATTTATAGACATCAATGCTTTTCAATGCCATAAATACAAACATGTATCACCTTTTGGGAGCATGACGTACCTAAAGGAGCTCTGCAGTTACACCCAGGGATAAAGATTAGCTGGTTTGCTCCCATGAAGTTTTACAGCTTTGGAGACCCTGCAGTTCTACTCTGCCCTATAGGATTGCTATGAGTTGAACTCGATGACAATGAGTCGTCTTTGGGCTTGGAGAAAACAATGTTAAGCTTCCATCTATTCGATCAGGAATAGAAAAGGGAGCAGCATTACAACTGTTTACTGAAGGCCTACAACACATCTGCATGGTATACACGAGATTTAGCAGGGATGGATCATGGAAAGCCTTCTTGTAAGGAGACAACTAAATTCACAGTGAGACCTGCTCTAGTGCAGGGGAATACATAAAGGAAAAATCACTTAACCTGTCTGCAAAAGGCATTTCGCATGTGCAGGAGTTATCTAGGTGGCCAGAAAGTGTGTGTGTGTGTGTGTGTGTGTGTGTTGTGTGTGTGTGTGTGATTCCTTTAAGACACAGATACAACATTGGAAAAGCACAAATGCACAAGAAACCATGTCAAAGCACACCAGGGCTTCTATTTTTTTGTTGGAATTGTATGAACAACACAGAGGGGAAAAAACAGAACACTAAAAGTCACTGCTGACTAGTCAATTTGGGCTCATATCAACCCTAGAAGGCAGACTAGACTTGCTTCTGGGGGTTTTCAAGGCTGTACATCTTGATGCTAGCAGACAGACTCGTCTTCTTTCATGGGGTATTCAGTGGGTTTAAACTGCTAATCTTAGAATAGTGTAGATGTCTACAACATTTGAAACAATTTGAATACCCACTAGTAGAGTATATGAGTAATTCAAATTCAAGCTTGGGCTACATTTAGGCTAATCTTGGCAAGGATGTTAGGTAGCAAAGCCCTTGATTAAAAGGGAAAATAATTTTTGTAAAAATCATGCTAGTCTTTATTTGAGGAAAATAGTTTGGCAAGATCTTGCAAAACAAAACACAGCACTCTCATAGGACCCAGCACCTAATACT